ATCCTATTTCCCAGACTTCACATTTAATTGAATTCTGGTAGCTGATCAAACATATGGGTTGTAGATTACTTTCAGGGTTATTCACTAAAGGGTGAAGAGTTTGGAGAAGGCAGGAGAAGTGAACAATCTAGGACAACAAAGCTGATTTGGAAACATTTTACAATTCAGCTCACTTTCCAGTTCAGTTATGTTGTCCTAGATTGCTCACTTCTCCTGCCTTCTCCAAACGAATTCACCCTTTTGTGAATAACCATGTTTGTCTTTGGCAATTAATTACAATTGTTTTTGCAGTTGTCGGTGACTCAAAAGTGGTTGAAATTGGCTGAAAATTTAGATGTGTATGGCCAGCTTTACTCCTTCAATCTTCAGCAACAATGGTCTCCTAAGATCCTCTGTCATCACTAATATACACCAGAATTATTATTAATATTATTATTATTCAGGTTTTATATTATATATATTATACAGGATTATACAGAATGAGCACACAGGTGCTGAAAAATAATTTCTACCCTCTTCATGTCTACGGCTACCCTAATGATGGTAACATGCGTGGCAACTTTTAGCCAATTTTCACCACTTTCAACTGATCAAGGCAACCTAAAAGCACCATTTCAGATCATTTCATTGTCTCAATAGAAACTGCTGATGTCAAAAAGTGAAATACATGTCCAAAATGCGTTTATTAATGTTTAACAACTTTGTCAAGCGCATAACTTGTCTTGCAATTCATATGCTATTTGATTGACAAAATACTTAAACGTCAATAAAGGTGGTTTTGGACAAAGATCCTTTGTGTGTAGGCGACATATTTTACTTCTTGGATTTGAGTGGTGCCCTTCGCAGTCACTTCAGCACCCATCCAACAAAAGGAATACCGGTAAGGGGTGCGGTGAAATATCTACAGAACATGCCGAAAACAACACGTGCGTTCCTGCAAGGTACCAAATGCATTAAGCAGGTTGTATTGTGATGCAATGTATTTTTTAATGTCACTCCAACACATCAACAGAGCACACCTACGCTACACCGCAATGCATCAAAACCCACGATGTGCATTGTGGTGCGCTGTTGTAAAGAAAAATAGAGTGGTAAAGATTTCTGCTTTGTTGGGGCCTTTTTTTAAATGAATGGGCCATTCTAACACAGCAAGCTGAATGCATCTTAATGAAGGTTGCTGTGCATATGTTACCTAAACAAAATCAGGAGTGAATTGGGGCTTATATTAAAATGTTGCACGCAATAATAATAACAATAACATCTAGGTATCATATATTGTTGTATCAATATTTCAAATACATCAAATTTGAAATGTGGCCTTTATTAAATTCATGCATTAAGAAGCATAGGCTTTCCAGATGGTAAAGTATTAAGGTCCCCACACACCTTACGATAATCGTACGATAATCGCGGGAAATCCCGCGATCGTACGATTATCGTAAGGTGTGTGGAAGCCGTGCGACCTCTACTACTGTAAGGTTGCACGACTTTAAACTTACGACTTTAAACTTACGGACATGTTCGAAAACCCGCCGAGCATCGTACGATATTCGGCGGGTTTGTGGCATGTCCGGACAATAACAGCCGTACGGGCCAGTGTGCGCAAGCCCGCCTCTCAGGGGGCGTGGCTTGCGATCATCGCAAGTACGATCTGCCTATGCAAGATAGGCAGATTGTACGTTTTTTTTAAGTACCTTACAACCATCGCAAGACTTTTGTCTTGCTAAATAAATATAAACTAAATATTAAATATATTCATTAGTGGGACTATTTTTATAACTCGGCTATTTTTTTACCACTTTTATATCTGGTTTTCATAGCATAGATGGTGTTTCTTATAATGACCATGACTTTACCAGGGCTACCAACTGATCCCTTTAATTTCTGCAACACAGCAATTAGACTGATTATGTGACAGACTAAATGCAGTCATGGACTAAATCCAATAAACCACAGAACCTTTATGACATGTCACTAATTAAGAATGAGCTTGCATCCCT